TGAACCTTGTTTTAACAAACCTTGTACATCTAGACATTTTTTTTTCTATGACATGACCTTAAGTTTTAAAATACAGAATACTACAAACAAAAAAAAAGCTTTCTTTCCCACCAACCTGTATCTGAAGTACCACTAGATGTGCATCCAGGGCATTTTTCACTGGGAGCGCTTTGAATGACAATTGAATCTGTCTCTTCTTCTCAGCTGCCTTCAGCTTCAGAAATCTGATCTTTCCATCCATAACTTGCATCTCAATATTGCCATTTCTACGCAACATCTCCTGCATGTTTATTTTTTCATACAAAATGCACACTTCTTCTTCTCGATCTCTGAGCATAAGACCACTACAATAAGCCCAAAATGAAAAGGTAAAAAAAAAAAAAAAAAAAAAAGAAAAAAATTTACTCATATTCAAGAACATAACTGGCAACCTTGAAAGATAGAAATAATCTGGGAAGATGTACAAAACTTTCACAAATATTATTTTAGCATCATGACAACATTTTAAATGGGTAACTAATTACAGTATGAAAATAAGTGCATAAACAATTGGAAAGGTTACTTTAGTCTCTCACATGATTTTAAAAACTCTTCTGGCCTTCCACAGCATTAGTTTTAAAATGGATTAACAAGATCAGGGAGATTTATGTCTTCTGTATTTTTACACCTTATCTGCACACAATGCACAAATAGAGCAGGAGGCTATAAATTCTGAGGGCATATAGTAGCCCAAGCCACCATATTTTTTTTAATAATATTTTGGAAGAATGAACAGCTTCACCAATGGAGAAAAAAATCAATGTAATGCGATGCAGCATTGACGTTGCAATGAGGCAAACTGTTTGGTGAAACATTGTAGTGAGGTGTTCTTTCAGTATTCCTAATTTGCTCACATGTTCAAAAACCAGAGTTGATTCATGAGTGTCAAAATTAAACACAATACTACATCAAATTTACATTGGATTTTTTTTGTGTATCTGCAAGATTTCCTCTTCAATGTGGGTGACCATAGTGGTAAGTTGCTCAAGATCCAGACACCGCTGCTTTTTCTTTTCTTTCATCTCGTGCATGACCTTTAAAACTTTGCAGTAATCATTTCTGAGGCTCTCTGTAATTGCTAGATTATTTGTATTCTTCAGATGTTGTTTCTGCAATTTTCTTTAACATAACAGAAAAGTAGGGAAGTTTTTAGTCCTTTCAGTTTGAAAGCAATTTCAGCAGCTAAAAGCAGAGCTTAAACTAATTCCTCAAATACACAAAGGATCTTCTATGTCAGTCTGCTTCACAGAAGCATTTCAAGAAACAAAAAGACTCTCTGAGAGCCGCTTCTCTCTGCAACCTCTTTCAGCTTGAGGAGAACTGGATTACAGCCCAAAAAAATGCCAGAAATGGAGTACTTCACCACAGCTCTTTTCTTTTCCACTTGGTAGCCCAAGTGGACATAAGAAAGAGAGTTCAAGAGCAGAGGCATAAACTGTGATGCAAAGTCTTAATGAGTAGAAATCCTCCTTGTATTTAAAGAGTGATATTTAAATAATTTTGTGGTTGTGATTCAAAGGTGTTCAAGTTTATTGTTTATAAAACAATGTATCACAACATTCACACAAGAAATAAAAATGTTTCCTTATTTGACAGATGAGAAAAAACAAACATAATGAAAGGCTAGTGACAAGAGCACATTGTAGACCCATGAAAACAAAGAACAGAAGTAATTCTTTCCAGTGACCTTGCTGGTGACTAGGCGATGGTTCCTCACTTAAAATACAGATTTTTGTTGCCAGACAGATCATTGATTTGTTCACAAGAGGGAACTCAGACTTATTGCATTTGATTGTGGTAAGTATCACTTCCTGATTAAGTATCCCTACTTTACCTACACTGGGAAGATATTCACATCAACATATGAAAGAGGTAGTGAAAGGAGAAGCCTAGTCTTCTGTTCAAATACAGAACTGCAGATGAAATATCCTGCCTCCCCTCCTGGGCTCCATCACTGCGTTGCTGAATAACTTTATACAGAGCACTGAGCTTTCTGCTTCATTTTCCCCATGCGTATAGCACTCTTCAGTTCCACAGGGTATTACCAAATTGAATTAAACTTCTGTAAAGCGAGTTTCAGCATGACAGTATTGCAGAAATGCAATGTGTTATTAAATATTTTCTGAAAAAAAACGTTCTCTTCTTTTGACTGATACTCTGTTCTCCAAATTGTGTAGGCTGCAGGTAAGTCAGTGATACTACGATACTAAAGTCTATTACTGGGATTAAAAAAAATTTCTATAGGCAACTATGAGTGTTAGTGACAATTCAGTACCTCTTGCTAGTTTGCAGGATAGGTTTGCAGAGCTCAAAATATCTGTGGGATCTGTACTTGAGTAGAGTTTTCTATAGTAATTAGACATTGCTGATATTTAGACAATATGTATCTGCCTTCTTAGCCTTGTTTTCCCCCTCCTTTTACCAGGAGAAAGAGATTGGGAGATCCACAATATACTTTGAATGAATGTGTCCTGAATGCATTTCTTCTGATCTGGCTGTGCAAATTTTTGGCACTGAAAACCAAAATTTTAGGAAAGTCACATTATTTTTAAAGTACTCAATTTTGGCTGTGCTGTTTTGCATATATGATTGACAATTCACTAGCTTCCTACTTTCCCAGAGACATTGTCAGTCTGTCTATATGGCAGAACATCATCACTAGAATGACAAAAAGATAGCAAAATGACATCTCCACTAATTAATGGTCTAGGAAAACACAGAGTCACAAGTGCCAACCATTCTGCTTCCTCCTCTTTGTTGTGACTGTAACCTTTCATTTTGGCTAGGATTGCCTGCCAATTGAAACTATGTTTTGTTCAATCTAAAATAAATTTTATCCAATAAACTTCAATTTAAGTTTGAACCAAGAAACCAAATTTGTTCTAATTTAATATTTAGACAGCCACTTCACTAGCTAGTGACTCATTTAGTAGCACCATGTACCAGTCTGTTATGGAATCACATATGTATTGGACTCCTTTTCCTCTAAGGGTAAGCAAGTATGAATACAACAGTGTTGTTCATATTGAATGAAACAGCACAATAGTTCAGGTACTAGAGGCTCAGGAACTGGGATACACAAGAAATGCAATGACAGTTTATCCCTTCAAATGGCAGGAAAGTGAGAACAGTGAGACAAACTTCAAAAATGCTTTGTGCCATTTGGTGATGCCCAGGCTAAGGGTGAAATGCTAGGGTGACAAGAAATGGGAACAAATTATGTAAGGGTGCTGCTAAACATCTCAGCATCAGGTTTTACAAATCAGGATAACTATAAAGGATGATATAGCCATAGCTGAAGTTGGTCTAGATTAACTCTTAAGATTCTTCCTAATCTTGCATTTCTATAATTCTGATCTACAGCTTACTTAAAACTCACCTTTCATTGGGTATAACAGTATTCCTTAAATTTTCTATTTCCTAGCAATTTTATCTGGTTTTTAGTTTCACTCACTTTCTGCTGAGCAGCGTGCACCAAATTTATACATTTATTCCTTTCATTTTGGATAATACCATATATTTCAGAAAATCCCTGGAGTCTGAAAAAAATTACAAGTGTGAAAGAAATAATTCTTATAATTTTATACGTACATTAGTTGGATAAAAATTGCTTTAAAAGACAATTTTAGCTAAAGTAGAATTATTATTTTCTTACTGGTTTTGGATTTTTCTTTTCCTCTTTTTACATTGTCTTATTTCAAGATCCTTTCTTTTTATTTCTTTAATAATATTTTGGTGTTGTACCTGAAATTTAAATAGAATTTGATGAACAATTTAGATAAATCAAAGGAATATTTTCAAAGAAATGACTCAGAGCAGCTATACCTCTTAGATGAGGAAAAGACAGTGAAGTGAGATGATTCTAAGAACTTACTACAATGAAATGCTTTTATAGTAATCATAGAATCATAGAATTGTCAGGGTTGGAAGGGACCTGAAAGATCATCTAGTTCCAACCTTCCTGCCATAGGCAGGGACATCTCCCACTAGATCAGGTTGCACAGAGATCCATCCAGCCTGGCCTTAAAAATTTCCAGGGATGGGGCTTCAACCACCTCCCTGGGCAACCTGTCCCAGTGTCTCACCACCCTCATGGTGGTGAAGAACTTCTTCCTAATGTCTAATCTGTATCTACCTACTTCTAGTTTTGCTCCAGTCCCCCTAGTCCTATTACTACCTGACATCCTAAAAAGTCCCTCCCCAGCTTTCTTGTAGGCCCCCCTAAGATACTGGAAGGCCACAATAAGGTCCCCTCGGAGCCTTCTCTTCTCCAGACTGAACAGCCCCAACTCTCTCAGTCTGTCCTCACAAGGGAGGTGCTCCAGCCCCCGGATCATCCTTGTGGCCCTTCTCTGGACAGGTAATAATATTAAAGAACACAGTCTTTATGTATGTTAAGATGACAATGACTCTTATTAATGTAGGTAATTTGATGCTTCATCTTAAAATGTATCTTGTATCTGAAGTTCTACTGTTTCTATTAAACAGCCTCTGGGCTCCACCGTGTCATTATTTGACATACGCCCCACTGAAACTGTATCTTTTCAAATATACTTTCTTGTTCATTCTTTTCTAGCTTTTAACCAATCACTGATGATTGAGTAGAACAATACATTCACATTTTCCTATGTCTCTGGACCTTTTATTTTCAGCTGTGTTCAGTGTTTAATACCCCATGTCATTAACCTTCAATGGACAGCCCTTTTTTTATCTCCCACTGGTATCAAGAGGAGAAGATCGGTATTAAAAAAGCTGGTGCATGTTGGGTTCTATCTCTGAGTATATGTGTATGTGTGTTCATTACTTTGTACTGTTTATTTAATTGATCTGTTTATGGACTGATTTTTGTTGCAGGTGCAAAGCCTGACATGTTTGTTTATTTTCATAGACAGTCAAAGATTCCCAAAGTGCTAGAAAGTTAGCTTATCTAATTTATTTGAATACAGACATACATTGTGGAAGCATAAATACTTTATTCCTATACATAAACCTAGCAGTATAAACTGTGCAATTCACAACATATACATGATATTATAATGCCACCAAACTGCAGGCAGAAAACCCCTAGATTAGTCTTGGATTCCATGACTGTAGGAAGAGTTTTCTTTCCATCTTTCTTCACATTAATATAACAATTTACACCTGGAAATCTTTCAGGAAAATAAAAGAAGCTGCCTCTTCTTGGAATGAATAGCAGTTTTGCATATCTTTTAATACCTCTATATATGTAGTGGTACTTCAAATAATAATAATTCAAATGAATTAAAAGACAGCACAAAAAGAGAAAGGATATAAGGGAAAGAAG